GTGGAGCGGTCCGAGGAGGAGCGGGCCGGGCTCCGGGAGGCGCTGGCAGGGGCCGAGGCGGAGCCTCTCGCTCAAGTGCTGCCTATATCTCAACTGGCGTGGCTCTGGCCCCACCGGCCGACTTGCCAAGCCGGGCGTATTCGGGGGCGGAAAAGAGGGGGGTGATGACTAGGGGGGGGCGGATATCATGGCGGGGGCCATGATATTTCCGCAGATTTCATGGCGCCTCTTCTTATTTCAATACGTCCCCAGGCCCCTCCGCTGGGCCGCGCACATGCCGCCGGACATGATTTGCACCCCCCCCTCTTGGACGCCCCCCTTTTGGTCGCCCCCGGTGTATGTGTGCCTGTTCCGTCGGGCTTCACGAGGCCCATCCCCACCTGGGAGGCTGGGCTGGTGGGGCCGAGAAGCCACTCCTCGGAGGAGGAGGAGCAGGTGCACGGACGCGCACGCAAACATGTATCTTGCGCGGCTCTCAGCGCGCATTTCTCGGGTCGGCGCTGGACCCCCCTCCCTGGCGCGCGGAGCACGGCAGGGGTAGCTGCAGGAGGCGCCGCTGGGGTGGGGGGCGAGCTCCGATCCCAGGGAGCTGCGCGGAGCTCCGGAAACGTATGCATGCGACCTTGTTGTTGTTGTTGTTGTTGTTGTTGTTGTTGTTGTTGTTGTTGTTGTTGTTGTTGTTGTTGCTGCTGCTGCTGCTGCTGCTGCTGTTGCTGTTGCTGTTGCTGTTGCTGTTGCTGTTGCTGTTGCTGCTGTTGCTGCTGTTGCTGTTGCTGTTGCTGTTGCTGTTGCGGTTGTGGCTGTGGTTGTGGTTGTGTGGTTGTGGTAGTTGCTGTTGCGGTCGTGGTTGTTGTTGTTGTTGTTGTTGTTGTTGTTGTTGTTGTTGTGGCTGTGGTTGTGGCTGTGGCTGTGGTTGTGGTTGTTAATCTCATGTCTGAACAATAATTATGGTTGATCCCCCTCACCAGTGCATACTTTTTTCTCAATGAAACTGTGCCCCTCGGCGCTCGCACCCTGACAGGGAAAATCTTGATGCTCAAACTGCGCCCCTGGCCACCGGGTTATAACAACAACGGGTCCCGCCTGAGACTTCCTCACGATTCAGCCAGGGCCCCCGCTCCCGCCTGAGACTTCCTCGCATGTTATTTAGGAATCGCGCTCTCGCTTAGGACTTCCTGACAAATTATTTAGGAGTCGTTCTCTCGGCGCTCTGGAGTCGCGCTCTCGCTGGAGACTTGCTTGCAATATACTTCAGAATAGCACCCTTGCGCTGGAATTCTTTACGCTTCGCGTATCCCCACCAGCCCATCTCACAGCAGCAACTCTTGCGAAGCATGCCGACAGTCGTGTTTTTCAGGCGTGTGTCCGCTTGGCCCCGCATATCTCCCCTGTTCCTCCTTCCTCCCGCCTCCTTGTACATCCTCCTTGTGGGGGGGGCGGGAGAAGGACGAGGCGGAGGAGGAGGGAGAGAAAGCGCTCCTCGTGATTTGAGTCGTTTGGGGTTTCTCGTCCTGGTGTGAGTCGTTCGGGCCCTTCTTCCTGGTGTGAGTCGTTCGGGCTCTTCGTGGTGTGAGTCTTTCGGGCTCTTCGTCCTGGTGTGAGTCGTTCGGGCTTCTCGTGGTGTGAGTTGTTCGGGCCCCTCATCCTGGTGTGAGTCGTTCGGGCCCCTCCTCCTGGTGTGACTCGTTCGGGCTCCTCGTGGTGTGAGTCGTTCGGGGCCCGCGTCGTGGTGTGAGTCGTTCGGGCTCCTAGTGGTGTGAGTCGTTCGGGCGCCTCGTCCTCGGGTGAGTCGTCGGGCCCTCCTTGTTGGTGTTGAGTCGTTCGGCTCTCGTGGTGTGAGTCGTTCGTTTTCAGGGGCTCTTCGTGGTGTGAGTCGTTCGCGCCCCTCGTGGGGCCTCTTGGGGACCTCTTGGAGCCTCTTGGGGCCTCTTGGGGGCCTCTTGGGGGCCTCTTGGGGGCCTCTTGGGGGCCTCTTGGGGCCTCTTGGGGCCTCTTGGGGGCCTCTTGGGGGCCTCTTGGGGGCCTCTTGGGGCCGCTTTGGGGCCTCTGGGGGGCCTCTTGGAGGCCTCTTGGGAGCCTCCTGGGGGCCTCTTGGGGCCATCTTGGGGCCTCGTGCGAGCTCCTCAGAAGCGCAATGGAGGGCTGCCCCATGAGAAGGACAAAATGAGCCCAAAACCTTCGTAACATCAATGATTTTGCTATGAAGGACGAGGAGCGCTGCCCCCTCAGAAGGCCAAAGTGGGGCCGAAACCCTAGTAAAATCAATGATTTTGGCTTCCAAGAAGAGCAGAGGGGCCAAACTGTATCCCCCCGACGGGGCCAGAATCCTCGTGAGGGTAGTCGTTTTTTGGCCCTCCCAGGAGTCAGAAAAGACCCCCCTGACTACGCCCCGGACTCCCTGTCCAGGTCCAGGGGGAGGGGGTAGGGGGAGGGGTAAACCCTTCCCCGAAGTGGAAGAAGGGGGGTTGAGGACAGAGCGGGCTCTCTAAACCACTCACGCCCAAAGGGCTGGTGGGATTCTGTACTGGTGCTTGTTATTCTGCTCAGGTGATGGTGCTGGTTCGTGTACTCGCCGCTATGGCCTCTTATTCTTGGTGATGGCGGGGTTCCTTCGGGTGTCCGGCAGTGGGCTGAGATGGGGTATAGTCCCCCGTCCAGTACTGGGAGTACCTTGCGAGACACCGCTGCATCAATACTGGGTGGCATCGCTACTGTGCCACACTGGGATATGAGGCAGTGTTAGCCGTGGGGGTGGCCGCTAGCACGGTGCGGTGGATTCGTTCGGTGCTCTCCTCCTGGTGTGAGTAGTTCGGGTCCCCCCTCGTGGACAGAGTCGTTCGGGCCCCTCCTCGATGTGTGAGTCGTTCGGCGACGGGCCCGAACGACGCACACCGATGTGTAAGTCGTTCGGCGAGGGGCCCGAGCGACTCAGACAAGGAAGGGCCCGAACGACTCACACCAGGGCGAGGGGCCCCAACGACGCACACCACCTGCAGTCTGGTCGAGGACGCCGCCGTCGCGTGAGTCGACAGAGTCGGTCACGTGTAGGACTCGCGGACGACCGCCGTCTGTCTTGCCTTCCATCGCCTTCTCTCCCTCCTCCTCTTCCTCCTCTTCGGCTCCTAGTCGTAGTAGTAGAAGTAGTACCAGTAGGATCAGGTGTCGTACTGGTAGTGGTAGTAGCAGCAGCAGCAGTAGTAGTAGTAGTAGTAGTAGTAGTAGAAGTAGAAGTAGTAGTAGTAGTAGTAGTAGTAGTAGTAGTAGTAGTAGTAGTCGTAGTAGTAGTCGTAGTCGTAGTAGTAGTCGTAGTCGTAGTCGTAGTCGTAG